ACACACACCTTTCCATGCCAGTTAAGGTCTCTTAAGATTCTGTCATTTCCCCCTTTAAATGAGCCAAAGTTTAAAGGCATTTTGAGTTAAATGCTGCATTCAGGGCCTTTGTCTTTCAGGCACAGCTCCGGCTCCTTAAACGTTGCGCCATCTGCTGCCGGTTATGAGATTAACAGTGAGTTTTTTTTTTTTGTTTGTTTCCAAAGCGCTTCTTAGAAGTACCACAACGAAAAGCAGCTGCCAGAGCCCTGCGAGGCAGGGTGACTGTGTGACGGCCCGCAGCCAGCCCTGGAACTGACGACTGGATCTGACCCAAACCAAATTCTAAACATCGCCCCGCCCGCCACCCGCTGGGCTTCCCAGCATGCCCCACACTGACCCCCCCCATCCCCAGTGACCAGAGCCCAGTAAACTGACAACACGGGAGCAACCGAGCCTGTGATCTGCCCTTCACTGCTACCTGAAGGGTGACTCAGACTGGTGACTAACTGGGAGGACTGGGTACGGGGACCGTCACTGGGCTGCTGCAGGAGTCATGTCAGAGTGTGTGTGTGTGTGGGGGGGGGGGGTAGATTCCCTGCATGGTGTCAGCTATACGAGATCCAAGCCTCGTATTGTCTCACCTCCAAGCCACATTGCAAAGATACCATCTCTACACACAGGGTAACGAGCTGGCGTTAACGAGCCGTTAGCAGACAGTGGAATTACTGGGAAAGCTGGGCAAAGCCTATGAGCTTCCCTACAGGGTGCTTGTACGTTTAAAGGGGGGGGGGAGGGGGTCCTAATTAGCTATACCAGAGCTGGCACATGATCATAGCAGCCACTGCTATGACAAATAGAAAGGGCTTCACTGGCCGCAGTGTATTACAATGCAAACAGTGTGATGTAATGGGGAAAATGTGGGCGGGGACACACCTTATATGGTGTGCTGAGAAATGGGCAGAGACATTCTTCATACAGCATAGTGAGAATTGGGGAGGGACATTCCTTAAATGGCTTGCTGAGAAATGGGTGGGACATTCCTTATATGGTATGCTGAGAAATGGGTGGGGACATTCCTTATATGGCATGCTGAGAAATGGGTGGGGACATTCCTTATATGGTATGCTGAGAAATGGGTGGGGACATTCCTTATATGGCATGCTGAGAAATGGGTGGGGACATTCCTTATATGGCATGCTGAGAAATGGGTGGGGACATTCCTTATATGGCATGCTGAGAAATGGGTGGGGACACTCCTTATGCTGACAGACAGTGACACACTCTGGCACTATAAAGCCCTCTATGACAGTAGCTCTTAATTGAGAGCTCGTTTAAATTTTGGCATCATTTGCAGAGCAGTGACAAACAGAAACGCGAAGTTTTCGAACCGAAAAATTCATTTTCGTTCTGAGCCGTCAGTGCAACATGTGTCTGTCGCTGTCTGCAGTGGATGACAGACAAAGGACCGCACAGGATGTGGGCTAAGGGGCGGGGCAGAACAGGTCACGTGACACAGGGAAGGGAGGGGGGGCGTGGCTATACTTGCTTTCCTTACTTGAGCCCTCCGGTTGGGACAGTGTGACACTTCTTATGTTCCAACAGCTGTTCCGGAGTCTTCATGAACTTATGGCAGACGTCACACTCGAACATGCGCGCAATCAGGTGGATCTGCAGGTGCCGCTCGTACATGGTCCTCGTTTTGCAGACGAAGTTGCAGAACACACACTCGAAACCTACGTCGCAGGGGTGTGGGGTGCAGGGGGGGCACAGAGTGCATTAAGGGTGGTTCAAGGTCTTGGAGCCAAAGGTCTGTGGAACCTTTAAGGGGGAATATTTTTTCCTGACCAGTTTCTGGAAATATGTAGCTATTTGCCAGGATACGTTATTTTTTTTTTAAATACAAATTGCCTTAGAAAAATTTATCCACTGCTGTTTATTTATGCTCATTGCTTAGCTGAGTAACGGAAAGAGTAACTGAAAGGGATCGGGATATTTTATGGCAACAAATTCCTCGGTTTTGAATTAACGACCTCAAGGCTACGAGCGCGTTCTTAGGCCAGACCAGCAAACTCACGTTTCTCTTCATTTACAAATCTGCACGGCAACTATACACACAATCGTGAGATAATAATCACAGGGGACAGAGGGCTGTGCCGGGGGGGGGGGGGGGCGGTTTCACAGCTCTTAAAGGAGGTGATTATCTATGCCCCACCCCATACCTTTCTCTGATTTGTCTTCGGCCCCAGATCCTGACAGGCTGCCGGTGCTGGACTGGCTACCTGCCGAGAAGGGCGGGGCCAACACGCCCTTCAGGTCCTCTCCGCCATGGGGGGTGTCGCTGCTCTCCGAGCTGTTCACAGAGTCGCTCAGGGCAGACAGCGAGGACGACGTGCTCTTGGTCTCACTCAGTGGGCTCCTGGGGTTCAGGCCTGATGGGCAGGAAAACAAACAACAAAAAGGTCAAAGGTCAGACTGGATCTCACCCTGACACCCCCCCCCCCACACACAACCCAGCCACAAAAAGAAATATCAACCAATCAGCACCAGCACTCCACCAGTTTCTAACCTAAAGTCAGCCTAGTCAGCCACTTTTTGCTCTTTTTTAAAAACCAAAAAGCACTTATGTTCTGAGAGGCCCGCATGGGGCTGGGATTGGCGTGGGCGATCGTGACTGGCATGGCGTGCCCTGCAACACCACAGCCACCAAACCACCCCCCCCCCTCCCGCGGGGCTGTCAGCGACAGCAAATTCCACTGGCAGCCCTTAGCGATGACAGGAGGACCGCTCTGTCCGTCGCTGACCCATGAAGCCCGACGGGAACCTGAAAATTAGCCAAGAGGAGGCGGCTCAAAGCATTCGCTGGCTGACGGCGGGTCCAGTCGCTAGCTTCTACACCCCGCTTGGATACCACTGCCCTTTGGACGCGGAGACGGCAGACTGGGAATGCAAAACAAATCAAGCGGGGATGAAAGGGTTTCGGGAAATTCCAACTGATGTCAATAACGCCATGGCTGTTGCATTGGATGCGAGCCAATCAGAGCCGCTAAACAATAACAGCCCTTAACAAATCAGAGGGCAGCTTACAGATTAACACATTGGACGAAGCTTTATTTAACAACGCACTACAAAATGTAAAACATTTCAATAGACCTGGGAAGATTCTCGCTGGATCCGATTGGTGTACTACTACAAAACTGGCTATTTGCAAATAACAGGTAGGAGATTCAGAAGGGCGCGCACCAAGCCAGCGTTAACGAGGGCTACAAGCAGAGCACATGTTCAATGAATGGCCATTCCAGCGTGGGCCCGTGCCTGCCGTCATCCTGACATTAATTATGTGCTTATAAGACCCACGCAGTGCACACTTCACGCGTTCGCCCATTTGCGCAGCTGGCTACTTAACAAGTCGTCCACGTTACGTAACGTAACTTTTGAATTTACGTTTTTCCTTGGCACCCAAAGAGCCTCGCCAGGCAGGGGTTGGTCGGAGACAAACATAGACCGACGGTGGGCAGAAACACCGTTCGTCACTCCCCTGCCCGCGGCAGCACTCCGATTCTGGCACAGTGCCCCTAGTGGCCAGCAAGGGCACCGACAGGCCACCCAGACCAAAGAGTCATCTGTCTCGTGGTCAGGGTCCGCCTCCGTGACAGCTGATGGGTAAATGCAGCCTTTCCTCTCTGACTGTGCTATGGCATGTTGTTTGTTTGTTACTTATTAGCAACAACAACAATACTGTGTAGCTATCAGGGCTCAGCTTTTGATTGGTTCAGATCCTGATAACACCTGCATCCTGTTACAGGTCAGCACCCCAGTCCCCATGGAAGTGCACCGTTACTTGGCTTGGGCGGTATCTAATTTTTCCATTCCTCCTTAGAATCTAAACCAGGGGTTAGCAACCCAACTGAGAAGAGGAGCCATATTCAGAACTTCAAAAAAAAACTGAGAAACTGTAAACAGAAATTTATTCTAAACAGTTTAGCTACATTTTTACATGACACCAACAAAGTGCAAAATTATTTTCAGTGTTTTATGGACTTTAGAACGAAAATGGCATGTCTCTAGTTCTCTTAATTATATTGTTCTTATTTTTGAAATCGGTAAACAGGTGTTCCACTACTTTGATTAATTAAGCACTCCTTACCGTATTCAACATCAGTGAAAGGCTTTTTATAATCTCTCAACATGCCACAAAAACTGGGAGCAACTGAGCTAACTTGAGCCGTCGGAACAATGAAAGTTTGTAATCTTGCCTGAAAATCAAAGTGTCTTCGTACAGTCCAGACATCGAGAAGCTATCCAAAGATATAAAGGCACAAAATGCTGAACAGGTAATACACATACTTCAAGTTTTGCAGCTGTGATCAAGCAGACGTTATATTTTCAGCATACAATATATCGGCACATACATTATTTTTTTTTCTCCAGGACTATTAAGCATATGCTGGAACAGCTGTGAATGCATTTGCCTCTGTCCAATCATCTCGAAATTCTTGACTTTCATCTTATGCTTTTCTCTTTTTTTGAGAACTGTTTTCAGCTGCCTTGGGATATGATTTATTTAGATTTGATTCGATAGTTTCACTGTTCTAGTTTACTTTTCAAAACATCTTTGCTAGCATAAAAATATAAAGTGGTACCGATTGAACTGATATTGTTCAAATCAAATTCAGATACCAAGATGAACATCACAAGCTACCAATAACCAATGGTTGAATCCGCTAATAGTGATCAACAGATTATATGGATCAAAAAGCTTGGGACAGAATCATTCCGGTACAAACACTGCATAAATAATTTGCTTAGAGTAATCAAGTAGTTCATTTACAGTGTTCATTTTGGGTCTTTTTAAACAAGACGACCTATGGAAAAAATTAAAACTGTGGTAATTCTTTTTTGTTTTTTAACTTTACTTTGATAGGTCTATTTTGCCTTGCGGCAAGCCGTCTGCTTCTGGTAGCTACCTGAGGCTGATGTTCCGTGCACAGAAAATGACGACAAAAAGAAAATCATTTTCTCTCAATGGCAAATATAGACTCATCAAAGCTTTTGATAAACTGCCAAAAACAAGCCACCGAGATGCAGCAGCGAAACTACAATAAGCACAATGAGACAATGTAACGTTGTGTTAATAGAATTGAATTTAATATTATGTACAGGTCTGTACTGTATTGTAGCAATTGAATTAAACACAGTTCAGTAATTCAATTTGTACAGTACTGTAATTTGAAAAGCATCTAAAACAGCTGCACTGTATTTCGAAATCGTCAACAAAATTAAGTAAAATATGGAAGCTGTCTGTTCTACTACCTTAAATTCATGTAATAAATTTACACGTCAATTAGATAGTAATCTCCCTGAGACATAAAAAAAAAAAAAAAATCGGTTATAATGATCGTCCTCTTATAGCGATCAATTTCACCTAGACAGACGTGATCACTATAAGCGGTTTTCACTGTATGTGACATTCACGGAAGCCTTTTTCAAATTTTTTGAGCTGTAAGGCCTGCAATGTTATCAGGTTGCGTTCAAAACCTCATACTATTACTATACCTTCACTTAATGAATTTCGTTGGAAGAGTACCACTTAACCGGCAATGCAGTACGTACTGTATGCATGCACAACAGCCTGCTTCAGCGCGACCAGCAGATGCATGTGACTCGAGGTTTGCAGGTTCTCGGCTCCTGGTCTACCACAGTATACGACGGCATACACTATTTTACTTTCAAAAACAGTGCTAAAATTCACCGTCCTCCACAATACGAATTTGCCAGGACAGGTCCCTATGATAAATTACGAGGAACATGCCCAAAATTTCATGGTATACGTTTTACCATAATACCACCCAAATTGTTACCGTGACGCAGTTTATCCACGCAGTACACACTTTGTTGTTACGCATTGACATATACCGGCCAGTAAGGCAAAGAGTGCTGCACTGGTCATTTTCACTGGCAAAGTGGGCTGATCGCTGGCACGGCGCCCACCTGCATGCCCAGCGCTGACGTGGGCCTTCATGTCAGCCTCCTCGTTGCAGACAAAGTCGCAGGTGCTGCAACACAGCGCGTACATCCACTGCTCCCGGTCCACGTGCAGCGACATGTGACTCACAAAGTGGGCGTTGTGATCCGTGTGGAACCCGCATACGTGGCAGCTGTGGGGGAAGGGGGCGGGGTTACAGAAACCAATCAGGAAGGGGTAAAGTGGCGGTGCTTGGGAGGGAAGTCAGCAGCACATCCTGTTGAATATTTCCCACAGAAAGTGCACATTCAGGCAGGTGCTACCCCTTCTGTTGCCATAACGATGGTAGCACCAGGATTAGGGGATACTTGAGCGCAGTGTGTGTGCGGTAGGGCGGCCACGCATGTGGAAAAGCGGGAGAGCTGGCGGAGGAGCACCCACCTGTAATAGTAGGGGCAGTTCTTGCGGTCGCCGGTCTCCGTGGCGATGGTTATCTGCTCTGTGTCGGTGCTCACCAGCTTGACGGAGTGGATGGTGAGGTGCTGGTTGAGGTTGGCGCGGCACTTGGCGGCGTAGGGACACAGGTGGCACTTGTACTTCCGCTCGTCTGCGAGGACCCGGCGATGGGGGGCAGTGGGGGAGAGGGTGACACCCATATAGGGGAACGACAAAAAGAAAAAGGAAGGAGAGGGAAAAAAATTAGTAAAAAAAAAACAGCGAAGGCGGGAGTGAGGGGCACGCCGGCGAGGCTAGGCAGGCCACGAGGCCGGAACCCCTTCCCAGGGCCTCAGCACCGCGACACACAGACATATGCTTCCGCCTCTGCTCTCCACATGGGGGCCAAGTGATGGGTTGCCAGCCGTCCCCGTCCACCCGCAGTCCCAGGATCGGGGGCCCCTGCGCCGGCTCTGCTCCCGCTCCCCGTGCTCCGGGGAAAGCCCGCGAAGCTGGCGCCGTCCGTATGCTCAGCTAATGAGACGAGTCGTTCTCCCACTGAGACTAATCAGAGGCGTAATCTCTTTAAAGCCGCGGGTAATCCTGTCCGGCTGCCCTCTTGTCCGGCCGCGCGCGTACCGAGAATCCGCCTCACGTAGCGCTTACAGGCCGCCTGCCCTGGAAAGGGGGCGGGGCCATATGGTGGGTGGGGCCATTGGGTGGGCGGAGCTCAGGCTCTCACCTGTGTGTAGAGAGAGGTGCCGGGAGAGAGTCTGCTGCCGGCCGAAGACCTTCCCGCACACAGTGCAGGGGTACAGCTGCTCGCCCGACCGCCATTGCGGCCTGCCGTTTCCCGGGTCCAGGCCGACCTTGTCCCAGTCTGGAAGAGAGGGAGCCCATCAGTCAGCTTCTCTAGGTGGCTGTGCTCTCAAGAACCAGGCTGGTCAGCATGTACCTCATCCGCATCAGATCCACCCCCGCCGAAGGTCACCCCCCCCCATAATCCAACCATCTACTTAACCCATCCCAGCGACACCGACCCACCAATAACCACTTCAATGAATAGCCCCCCCCCCCACGATAGCCTGGCAGTACAATGTTAAGCCTTTGATAAAAGGCGACAGCCAGTTCCCAATTAAGATTCCAGACTGGCAGTGCCACATCCCCCCCAGGGGAAGGACACGCACAATACCCCTAACCCATAAACGATATAGCCTGTTAGCCTGGAATGCAGGCTGAATATAAACACGCGTCTCTGCGCTTCCCATTGGTCACTGCGTGGGCCGGGTTCATGAATATTAATTATGTAAATCTGGATCTACTTAAGAGCATACTGGTTAATGGCTAAGTGGCTGCACCTTGGAAGGAGATGATCACAATAAGACAATGATAATGTAAATAAATGTCTGAACGTGACGCTTATTTGTGATAATCAAGGGAAATGTGTCTTTTTAAGACGACCGCAAACCGATGAGATATGAATAAATTGTCGAGAGCCGGGCTGGCGGCCATCTTGGCGACTGGCGCTCAGGCTGGGAAAGGCGGCGTGTGGCTGCAGGATCGCTGGGGCACCAGATGGGGGCGCTCTGGCTGACCGCAGCTTATTTAATGGCAGCCATTAGAAGACAGATGTGCGAAATGTAGAGCGGAATGCAGAAGGTGCATGTCCGGGCTCTGGTTACACACACAGTCCCCCAAATCGGGTCGGGGGGGGGGGGGCAACTTGTACAGGAATTCCTCTGAAGTAGGTGAGGGGTACGGGGTGAGACGGTGGACGCCATATGTGGTATATGTGGTCCGACCCGAGCGCACCGTTCCACTGCGAGCGACGCTCTTTTCTGAACCAGCGCATCTCGGAAACTAACCGACCCATCTGATACAAACACGGGGTCTGTGCTACTGACGCCGCGTGGCGAATTCAGCCAAACTTTGGCACATCCTTGCCCCCATCCCTGCCAAGGTGTCCGCCAACGCACGACCAAGCGTTGGTGCAGTGTGCCAAGCCCTCCGAATGGCACAGACACAGGTTCCAGAATCTGGGCCGCGCGGTTTACGGCCGATGTGGGGGCGGCGGTGCCATGAGGCCCAGGCCCGACACATTGGCGCTGACAGGCGGCTCGCGGAGACTGGGAGGGACAGCCGGCTTCCCTGGCTCTGACGAGGACGGCTGGGGTGGGGGCCTTTCAGGCACATAATGGTTTAATTGGCGTTATTAATGCTGGGGAGGGAGAGGAGGCCGCCGCGGCGGAGGGAAGACGGACAGGCGGGCACACACGCCGGCACGCGCCACTCCCCGGCAGAACCAAATAAAAATAGGAGGAAACAGATGCACAGTACAGCCGCCAAGCCCTCGCCGCACGACTCCCACCGCAATACTCCTCCGTGGCCAAGCTGTGGCGCCACAGCCACATTCCACCGCCATGGGTTAGGGTGTCGGGACAGGAGGGAGGCAGCAGCGCGCATACAAAGGCAGGGAGGGGGGGCGTTCGGCAAATTAACTGCGAGGACACCCTTGACACGTAAAACGCAATCATTTTTTCATTAACTCAGGGCCGTGAGGGCGGGAGCATGCTAATTACCCTCTGAGTGCTGGGGGTGCCGCAGCCGATGGGGTGGGAGGGTGGGGGGGCAGAGGCTCATGAACGGCGCTCAGGCCCCTGAGGTCACGGCCTCGGTAAACCGCCACAAAGGTACCACCGAGCCCAGCCGGGTTCTGCCAATCACGCGTCTCCTTTAGGAGCTCAGCCAATCACAAACACCCTACCACTTGCTGCTGAACTGGTCGTGCGACCTGGGCTCCATGGCAGCCGTGAAACAGAGGTGGGGAGGTTTACCGAGTGGCGCCGCCCTGGTGGACGAGCTGGCCTCGCCGGTGACCGGGTCCTTGGAGCATGAGTTGAAGGGTGATTGTCTGAAGCAGTCGCCAAGGTACGAAGTGCTGTGTAGATGTGACCACAAGAACAGTCAAGGGGTGAAAACAAGCACCGCTGAGGGCAAAGCCAGTAACCAGGGGGGGGGGGGGGGGCTCACCTGTTCATGCCCAGCATAGTGCTGTCTTTCTGGTCGTTAGCTTTGCTCACTTTTTCTGTTAAAAATAAAACGGACACAATGTTAATTCAGAGTAATCCTCTACATGCATAAAAACATTCAAAGATGGGGGGTGGCTACCCAAACCAGCCCCCCCCCCTCCAAATTACAGCGGCTCTGATTACAACCCAGATAAGACCAGTGCTCCCATTAAAGGCAGGCCCTCCCAGCACAGCCGTGACTCCTTTCAGAGAGGCGGCTACCCAGGCGCCCCCCCCCCCATCCCCTTCTTGACACGGCTCCATCAAATGCCTGGCCAAGGACAGAGGTCTCCCTGCGTTGCCATGACGATCCCGCACAGGGGACGAGAAAGCGCGTGCGTGCGTGGTCAGGTTGGTGTGCTTCAGAAATGAGCCGCAAAGGAGGAGGGTGTCATTTTGGGGGGAGGGGGTCTTGCAAAACCTTAAAGGTTACTAAAACCTCAAAATTGACCAAAAAAAAATTCTTTATTAAATAGTTAAATACTGCCTTTAAATTGCCTGAGAAACCAGTATGTTGCAGTTTTGGTGACACAGATCCTTCAGGCCAATTAGGTTGTCCAGCTCCTTTCGAAGCCAAAAAAAAAAAAAAAAAAAACAAGCAGAGTCACATGACTCATTCAGCCAATCGGCACGGAGTCTCTTACCTGACAGCTTGAAGAGGAGCTCGGAGGCCATCTTGACAGAGATGTCCTGGGAGAAGAGGGCCTTCTGGGGCAGCACCAGGCCCTCGGGGAGGCCGGAGAGCGGCTCACCCGCCTCGCACCCGGGCAGCGTGCCGAAGCCCACCAGGCGTGAGGGCACGGGGGGTAGGGGTGGCTCCTCGGGCGGGTCCACCTCCATGGGCTCCGATTTCACCACCGCCTGCCGCATGCAGGCCTCCTTGTTGCTCTCTGCTGGAGGCCGTGAAAAACCAGTCAGCCGCCGTGCCCAGACCTCCCAGTACACCCAGTTAGGGGTACACAACGCATTAAAATCGGCAGGGATCGAGGACCTGAGAAGTGACCCCCAGTCTAAAAATACGGCTAGGATCTGCGATCATTTTGCCAGTCAGCTACCAGCTGCCCCAGAACACCAACCAATCGGTTACCAGCTGCCCAGGAACACCAACAAATCAGCTACCTTCTGCCCAGTAACGTCAGCCAATCAGCTACCTTGCAGAGGTGACACAGAAAGGCACGAGGAAAAAAAAAGAAGGCGACAAACGGACGCAGCTGTGAAATCCCACGTGCCCCCCCGGCCCGTGTCGGACAGCGGGGGCACAGGTGGCGGAACGGCGCGTGAGCAACCCGTCGGCCCATCCATATGCACGGGGGTTGGCCGGGGACGCGTGCACAGTGCCCCGATAAACGCCAGGCCGGGCGCTCCGGAGGTGAGGCAGACTGCCGTGTAAAAATAGCTCCTCGCCGTGCCGGATTTCTGCAGGTAACACGTGTGGTACGGACGGCTCCCATGGCACGCGGTATTTTGGGCTCTGCCCCGGTCGGGGTTTCCCCTGACGTCGCGGACAGCTAGCGGGCTCCGCCCACTGATCCGGCGGGGGGGAAGGAGGCAGAACGAGGGCAGGGGGGGTCACGGCACGGCCACCCCGACCTACATTCTGCACGGGGGACGGGACTCAGGTGCCACTACGCAGGAATCTTGACCCGAATTCCCCGAACGAGGAACTGGGACCCCAGAACCAGCATCGGGGTCAAGGTCAAGGGGACAGGACAACGTTCATGCCGAGACCCCGATTCGAGGCGGGTAACAGCTTCACCATGTGCCTGGGACACTGGACTTATTTTGTTTTCGTGGTACTATTTTTATTCGCAAAATCAACCCTGCGCAGACTGACGCGGTACGGCCCGCCGAGGTGGGTGACAGCAGTAGGAGGGGAAAGAGAGAGAGGGAAAGGAGCGAGCGGAGGAGAGCAGACGAGAGCGAGCGAGGAGAGGGGGCGGGGGCACGAGGGGGGCGCGGAGGAGCGGGGGTGCGGAGCAGCGGGGTTGTCATTCCGAGCCGCGTCTCCTCCAGGCTCGACAGGAAGGACGACCTGCTTAGACAGGGGTGAAAAGTTCAGCCGCTTCAAGCGGGGGAGAGGCGTGCTGGGCGCTTGCGTGTCATGGCGAGGCCACGCTGCCCCGGCAAGGACAAAAGAGGAGAGGCTCGCTTCCCGGAGGCGGCGCTTCGTTGGGTCCAATGACGGGGCGGTCCGTGGACGGGCCGGGCCAGTCTGAACAGGGTGGGGGCTGACGGGAGATGGGGGGGACTCGCTATCTCGCGGCGACTGCTGGATAACACGGTATTAATGCGGTATCTCGCCATATCCGGGTTTAATAAATGCCCACCCGCAGCACCGAAGCTCACGGGACACGTCGTCATCTCTGTACTTTCACACCTAAGCCTACACATATTATGGGATGCCACACATTCGCACACACTGCCAGCGCGCCGAGGATCCGCAGCCCTTCCGCTCCTCTGACGCCGCGCCGTCCAAATCCAGCTCGTTCGCTGGCCCCCACTCGTTAACTCTACCGCCCGCCAATCAGGGAGCAGGCTTGACGTCACTGCTGTCCCCCCGGCGGACTCACGGGGACGGCCGTGTTTAAGTGACCGCGTCCTCGTCACGCAAAGCTGCCTTCCTCCCTCACCCGCCGACCCTTTTAGAATCAGGGGGGATGAGTCACGTGACAATGGCAGGGGTAACCGAGGGCTCTCTCTCTCGCCAAGGCCAGATCCAACAGGCGGGTAACTTTCCTCCAATCACATTGCGGGGAGGAAAAAAAAAAAAAACTTCTAAAAAGTGTCATTTATGAACACCACAGACAGAAAAGCCTCCACTGCTTCACGCTTAAGGTCCACATCGGTCCTAGAGTCACGCCCCCCCAGGGGGTCTCGGGTAAAAGGCTCCAACTTGTCGGGGCACACAGATGTTAACGTCTAGGAAATTGGAAAAAGGGAAGCAATTAAACCCAATTTAAAGTCCTTACATATCAGCAGAATGTGTCAATGTTTAATAAACTAAATTTAAAGAATTTGGGGGGGGGGGTTAAATCAAGAGGTAAATGTATTTATTTTAGGACAGAAAGGCCCCTTTCATTCCAGTCAGGGAAAGTGTTTTGACAACCGAAACGCAGGGGGTTCAGCAGAGGTCATTTGGGTACATAATTTCTGTGTATAACTGCTTCTACAAAAAAAAATGATATTTGTGCTTTTATTTACCAAATTCAAAGGCGACAAGGTGAGCTAGTGCCCAGCATCCTGGGTCGTGACCCGACTGCCTGCTGGCTGGTTCATGTTTTCCTTTTTAAGTATAGATTCCCCCTCCCTACCCGTGACCCTAGGTTTGGTCCAGCTGTCATGGTGGCGGGACGGGACCGGAACTGTTCCACCTCAGAGGTGGTGTGGAGAAAGTAGGCCACCCCGCCCCCCCCAGCCTCGACACTGGGCTAGTTTACCCTCCTTAATTGACCCCTGGATGGTAACCGTAAGAATTAACAGATTAGTAATAAGCATACACCTTTCTCCACCCCCCCCCCAGTCCTGGGGGGGCCTGCAGCAGTCAGGCTCATGGGCATCGGAACTACAGAGGATCACAACCCAGCGAGAAGCCACTTCCTCAACAATATCCTAAAGATAGATGCCGCCGGCAACCCTTGGGTCAAGCGGCAGTAGGCGGGTGACTCATTCCTGGTGACGTTTAGAGCATCAGCCGGCCTCGCCAATGCGTCTGCGGCCTCGCAGACATTTTCAGTCAGGTAGGGGTTAAGGTTGGGGTTGAGGTTTCTGCGCTGGTCTCTGAAACCTTCCAGCGGTACTTTCTGGAATTCCCCACAGTAACGTTGGCCTTGATCCTCCCACGCTGTTCCGTGTGAGGGGCCCCTCGGTCAGGGAGGGGGGGGGGGGCATTCGGAGACACATCAGATTTGTCCCTCCTGACATTCTGTCCAAGTTCAAGACCTCACGTTTCTATGGCGACCACACTCTAGAAAACTCCACTCACGACAAGGCCAAGGCCAGGGGGGTGGGGACATTTTTCCACCGTATTTTTTTTATTTATTTTTTTTAAAGAGGCTCATTCACTGACACACACACACCCATGGCAACAAAACACTGGATGACAACACACAGTGACGGTGTAGCACACAAGCGCACGAGGACACCCCGCAGCAACATTTACAGCACGCTAAGCAACTGCGTTAAAACGGGGCATTTTTCCAGAACAGTAAGAAGTAAACTGCACTTTGCTTTTAGCTTATTAGTAACCTTGTGTGAATAGCTTCGGTATGTTTTGTACTAAAGCAACATGAGAATGTGTCGTTTTAAAGAAGCAGAACTTTAAAAAATAAAGGGCTTAAAGGGCTTGAAAGAAAGTCTGCTTTATTCATTTGAGGTTACAAACAGAAACATTGGTGTATGTTGGGGGGGGGGGGCTCTCAGCCATCAGGATAGGCCTTCCTGTGGACTTTCCTCTGTTTTAATGCTACTGAGCACCAAGACCCTTAAAAAGGGGCTCTTTTTGAGAATTTAGGCTTAAAAAGAAAAAAAAAACCCACTGAATTCTGGGAACGGTCCCTGAGGTCAGTTTTGCAGGCCAAGTGAAACTTCCAGAAGAAGAGAAGACAGAAGGGCGGGTGGAGAGATGGGCAAAGCGGCGAGGGGGGGGGGGGGGGGGGGGGGGGGCTGGGGGGAGAGGCAGACCCACCTGAGAGCTTAATCAGCAGCTCCGACGCCACCTTCATGCTGATGTCCTGGTTCAGCAGACGGTTCTTGGCTAGTGGGCTCGCCTCCTGGGGCTGGGGGCCCCGTTCAGCGGGCCCTGGGGTGGGCCCCTCCTGATGCATCCCGTAGCCCGACTGCACCTCCTCGGAGCTGGGCTCCTCCTTCACGAAGAGGGAGGGCTTCAGGGCCTCTTTCTGATTGGCCGCTACGGGTAGGAGGAGAGGAGTCGTTTTTGGTGGGGGGGGGTTGTATTTGGAGGGGACCCCAGCATCACATGCAGCAACGCAGGCCACTTTAAGCAAGATCTGCTGGGCTCACCCTGAGAGGGGGGGGGCACCGGCAGATCTAGCTCAGCGGCCTGAAAACGCGGCCTTGTGTCCCGCGACGGCATACGGATAAATAAAAGGGATTCGGTTACTCGGGGGGGGTGGATCAGATGAAGAATTAATAAGCGGACGGGCCGGAACAGATGGCCCCCGACACGGTCGCTCTCGAGCCGAAAGCTCCGATTATCCCCGCTGCGGGTACGAGAGACGCAGAGAGCCGTGTGAGGCGAGCAGCCAGCAGGGAGCCGAAAGCATTTAGATGGGGAGGTTCAGTGGCCCTGTCCAACAGGGGGCGCCACTATCATGGGGTAGATCCTGAATCACCAGGATCACTTGTTAGCCGCTCTCCTGCCCAGCTCGCACAACCGAGCGCCCATATGACCAGCCCACACTGGATAAAAAGGGGCTCATTAATGAGGGGGCATGGGGGGGGGGCACAGGCAGGGGGGTTGTCGGCTGCCCTCGCCAGCTGGAAAGCGGGCGGAGCCCAGAAGGACGTCCTCTAATGAGGAGCGTGTTGCGCCGTGTGGGACCAGACAGCGCCGGTACGCTCGGCCCACGGCCTGCCCAGTCTGAGCGGGAACGCGACAGATCTCCGGGACCCGGAGCGTACGAGGTCACTCCTGGCCAGGCCGTGGATTTCCGGCGGGATCCATGCCGCGCTGCAGTCAGAATGATGCCGAATTCTCCCGCTGGTGCTCGAAGTTGCCCCCCCCGCTAGTGTCAAACTCCCCGAACCCTAATCCTACCCACAATCCTCACTCGCCCATGTCAGCCACTGCCCCCGAGTCTTTTACCCGTAAAACCGAACCCGCCGATTGCAGCGGACGGCAGGCGACAGAGTTCAATCGAACCAGCAACAGCAAGCAGGGAGGGAACAAAAACCCGCAGCGCGTTTCCGTAAAGTCTGGGGTCGTGGAAAGTTCAGGCGTGATTGCTGAGGGATTCTGGGAATGACTCTCGCAGGCCTGCAGGCTGCCAGCGGTGCCAAGGTGATGGATCCTCGTGCCGGGGGGGGGTCCGTGCACACAGCCCCACCTCTGACTCAGCATAGCACCTCCTCCCGGACCAACGGCCCCCAGTGACACAGCACCGGTGTTATGGCCCGTTTACTCACTCACACCTCCCCAAACACCCACCCCCTCCCCCGCTGCCCCATTGGAGTCTATTTATGTAACATTATTGTCTCCTGGGGGCCCCAGACCCTCCTGGGACCAGATGAGAGAGTCACCCCCCCCACCTCTCACACTCCATAAGGGTTATGGGGTATAAGCACCCCTCCCCAAATGCGATTCATTTCTAATGATGAATTATGCATGGAGTTATTAATTAATCTAATGATCTGTGTTTTCTGCGCTGGCCCCCTCCCCCGAGATGGCGGTGTAATTATGCAGCGCCAACGAGCTCCGAGGTCCTCCGTGAGCTGCTCTTCCAGCGCCCGGGGCTGGGCCGCCCCCGTGGGCAAAGCCGGGCACGGACAACGCCAAGCCAGACCACCTGTGCCGGCGAGAACCTGTTTCTACAACCCGGGCAGCACCCATAAGTCCTAAGCCGATTAGAGCCCTAAAGCACGCTGGGAAGGCCGTATCAAACCGATGGCGGCAGCTTGGGGTCACCATGGACGTCTCTCAATACCCAAAACGCAAAGACCGTACTTGTGGTCTTTGCAGGACCAGTCTTGCCAACTTCCCTCCCAAGAACGAAGCTGGGGGGGCAATGAATCATGGGGCTTGTCTCCTTCGGGGAGGAATACCCTTGATTTTTGGGGCGGGGATTTTCACCATCCTTTGTACTTCTGTTCTTAGTATTGGAACTGGTCTTCAGCAATAGAAGATGACGGAAAATGGGTAGAAGAGAACACAAGTACGGTCAAGCACACATATTGGGAAACACCCCAGCTTACCTACAGCCAGGGGTGGGGCTGCAGGGGCATTGGCCCCAGCCGAATGTTGATTGACCCCTTCCCTTGTCACTTATCAACTCAAAACATATCATTGGCTAATAAGGTTGGGTGGTCTATATGAACTACGGCCTCTGTTATGCTCCTCCACCCCCCCCACCGGCCCATACCTGAGATCTTCATGAGCAGGTCGGTGGCCGTCTTGGTGGAAATATCAGGGCTGAAAAGGGAGGCCGCGGTCGGCCCGGGGGGGCTGAACTTGACATTGGGGGGGTCGCCATGGAGGGAGAAGGAGGCCGGCGTGGAGACGTCGTGCTCCTGCGGCTCCTCCTTGACGCGGAGGTGCTCAGACGGCGATGGCCCCGGCGTGGCACCGGCCGCTCCGCCCACGGGCTCCTCCTCGGCGCCGGTCTCCGCCTCGGTGTCCGTGCCAACCTCCTCCTTGACGGCGACCTCAGAGCGGGGAAAGTGCTGGTGGCAGCGCATGTGCAGCTTCAGGCTGAAGTGCCGCGAGGAGGTGAAGGGGCACAGCTCGCAGTGGAAGGTCTCGCCGCGGTCTTGGTGCTGGTGGACCTGGGGGGCGGGGCAAAGATCAGCACCAGCCAATCAGGTTCAGGCCACAAGACACCCTATCAAATAACACTAATAGCAAATAGCACCAATAGCATTACAGTGTTTCATTATAACTTTGTGGATTGGTTGCTGGTCACCGTTTACCTCACGTCTTACATTTGCCGATTTGTCAATACATTTGCACAAAGCAACATAGAGCTACTGTCCAGTAGGTTTTTTTATCCTGGCTTCTGATGAGCCAAATCTCAGGTAAATACCAGGAACAGGTGTGGCTCATCAAACAGGTAGAATAGAAAACCAACTGGATAGTAGCTCTGTTGGACCAGATCTGGAGACCCCTGCCCTAGAGCATGTGGAATTAAGGGCACTGCTCCTTCCCAACCACTGATATGATTACTATCTTGGCTATGGGATTCGAAATCACAACCTACTGGACAAGGGCTCAGATACCCAGCTTACCGAGCTACACAGTCTACATACCGTTTTCTGATTTTATTGAATATTTTCTTAATGATCTGTCGCCCAGGGGGGGGGGCGGTACCTTCATGTGGGACTTGAGATTGTCTTTGCGGGCGCAGCGGAAGGGGCACAGCGGGCACTGGTGGCTCTTGAGGCCCGTGTGGATCACCATGTGCCTCTTCCAGTAGCTCTTCCGCTTGATGACCAAGCCACACACAGGGCACTGGAAGGGCTTCCCCCCGTCCTCTGGAGAGCCTGCGGACAGCAGGTGGCGCCATCATTAAGGAGCCGCCACTGCGATTAGCATTATTATTAATGACAAGCTGGGAGTTTCCACCACGAGTGCAGGTTTGAATGCCGGAGAGCACTGCGTCCGAGGTTTAATGTCTACATCAAACGGTCAATTTTATAATCACACACACAGGACCTAAAGCCACTTTCAGGATCCTCGGCACAATGACAGATGGACATCAGGGACGGGGGCCGTATCATTTTTACCGCACACATGGGTGTAATTATCGTTATGCGAAGTTTTAATAGGAAGATCGCAAACCATGTCTGAGAAAGTTAGAGAAACTCCTCCTTAGCGTCGCGGCTCTCAGCCACAAAGCGATCCTGGGTCTCGAACCTGCGTCCCACCTACACTGCCACTCTCTATGTCCTCCTCCATGTCCTCATGGGCTAACGGACAGCCACGGGGACCAATCACGGATCATCAGCCCCCCACAGTAACAGGCAATGAGATGCATGGTTATGAATGACATCATCAGTTTATTAAAGGTATTTCAAACAAATTAAGTCTCGTTATAAACCTATAGGACAGAAGACAGACAGAGGCATTTCAGGTAATCCTTCTCAGTCTGGGCAAGGAAAAAAAATTGCTAAGAGTGACATTATAATTACTTAACTAGCATTTTAAGTGCCTTGCGCTCTTTTGAATAACCTCGTCGACGGTGATGTGCGTTATCTCAGCGTGAGGCACCTCTCATTTTTGGGATCATGCCGGTGGCTGGTTTAAACTGGCTAATTTCCTTTTTGTCCGTGGACGCCTGACGTGCATCTGGAAGGTACGGCGCCGGCAGCCAGCGCCCACAAAACGGAAAGTATGATCGCTATGTTTGGCTTGGAATTTGATGGTGGGGGGAGGATGGAAGGGAGGCTGGCGAGGTGGCCCCCCCGCTGCCCGTGTGAGGGGCCGAGGCTGACAGGCCGGCTTTGCGGGTCGCTCCTCCCTCCAAAAATGAGCCCCGCCGGGGCCAGGGGAGACCCCCCACGGACCGTCGAAAGCTCCGTTTGGCCGCTACGCCTCCCACAGGAGTGAGGCGGGGGGGGGGGGGGGGGGGGGCTACTGAGGGGGCCGCGGGAGTTAATCAAAGACACTCGACCGCCGGTTCGAATCGGCCGAGACGGGGGCCGGAATTCCGCTTCCAGAATCTGTAAAAACATTTCTGTGGAGCAGAAGAGGAGGCATGAACTTTGGCTGCTAGATTAGGGAACGTGACATAAACATAACATCTTATTTCCATTTGGGGGGGGGGGGAGGCAGAAAAAATGCAGAGAAATGGAGAAAAAATGAGTGAAAAAAACAGCTATAAAAACCCCAGAGTGTCGAGCGAGAGGAGGGAGGAACGATGTTTTCTGAGCCGGGCTGCATGGAGGCTGCGACCTTTCACCTCCGCTGCGTTTTAAGAAGGAAAAAACACCCCCCCACACACACACACACAGCAGGCTCAAATGAAAGGAGCTTTAACACGGAGAGCTTGCGGGGGGCGATACCTCCTTGGCTGCTGTTGGCTTTGGCCCTCCCCTTAGGGGTGGAGGGCAGGAGCAGGTCCACGGTCTGGTTGGGTGTCGGGGGCTTTTGGCTCTTCTCCAGAAGGGGCTTGACATCCTCCGTGGAGCTAGGGGGTGCTGGCGTCAGCGGCGGGTCCTTCATGTCGGCCAGCAGGTTCCCGGCAGCGCGGGCGGCCACCTCCTTGAGGAGCGCAGCGGAGGAGGTGCGGGAGACCAGCGAGAGGAAGGAGCCGGCGGAGGCCTGGGGGTCCGCCTGGGGGGCGGCCAGACCCCTCTCGCTCACCTTCTTGGACAGCGCCGCCAGCGTGGAGCTGGCCGACTGCGGGTTGAATGGCGAACCGAAGGCGTCAAAGCGCACGGCTGCCGCTGCCTCCTCGGAGCGCCCCCCAGTGGCCGGAATGGAGGAGGACGAGGAGGAGGAGGAGGAGGACGACGACGACGACGAAGATGAAGAGGAGGAGCAAGCAGAGGAAGCAGCCGCAGCGCCCTTGTCCTGCAGGACGGCGTTGGCAGCCGCTTTCAGCTTCTGGATGGCCGAGTCTGGCGAGAGACTGCTGCTGGGCAGAGAGCAGCCAGATGGGGGCCAGACCTCGGCCCCGGGGGGCCACACGAAGCCACCAGCCCCGCCCCCGTCACAGGGCTCCTGTTTGATGCCGGCTGGGGGGGCCGAGGAGGCAGGCGAGCCAGTCATGGACCCTCTGTTATTGTTACCGCCGCCGCAGGCCAGCTTCCGGGCGAGAGCGCTCAGCTGCTGGGCATGATGGGAAGGTGGCAGGAGGGCCAGGCCCAGGGGGGGCGGCGAGTCTGTGCCACCGGCCTGCAGGCTCAGTTCCCCAACCTCCAGGAGGCGCCGTAAGTTGCTGTTCAATGGCTTGCCCAGCGCCTGCGAGGCATCCCGGTAGAGGGATACCAGGGCGTCCTGCCCCGCGAAGGATCCAGCCCGGAAGGCGTCCCCCTCTAACCCTAGTAGGTCCAGAGAAGCCCGGGGCACCGGCGTGGGGCAGCCCAGCGAGCTCTCTGCCGACGTGTCCTGTTCCGGCCGCGGCGCTCCATCAGGGGTCGTCTGGAGGTCATCCTGCACGTCCCCATAGGACGATTCCGAGGGCGTGTCCGAGGCGTTGCCGAACCAGCCGTCCTCGTCGCCGGGCTCCCGGCCCGCCGGCTCGTCCTCGGCAGGGTCGGCATCTGCGGGGCGGGTGGAAAAGGCGGCGGGATTAGGAGGGAGCTAGACGAGCCACACTGTAAATATCGCGTCGATTCACGCACCAGGGACGCGCTCGCAAACACTCGTGTAAAGTGTAATCCTTCATCGCCGCCGCCATGCACAAAGACCCAGCTTTCTGTCTTTTAACCATATTCCTCCCGGGGTCTGAAGGAGTTTGGCGAAGGGGTTACCATGGCGACAGGCCCTTCTGGGAGGCGAGACGGGAGAGATTAGGGTAATGGAGGTTACCGAGGCGGATTAATATTCATGAGGCTGCGGATAGTCGCCGACGAGCCAATGAGGATAGGGTTAAGGTCGCGGAGGGTCATTAATATACAGTCCCCGTATCAATATTCATAAGCAAAACATTACGGCGAGCCAGACACGGAGGAACAAAGCAGAGGGGCTACACAACGAGACGGAGGGAAAAGACGGACGTGACAATCAAAGGGGCGTGCATCCGGACGAGTTAACCAGACTCTGCGTTTACCTTCATTAAAGGAGTAAAATGTAGCAAAATGGAGAGAAATACCGCCGTACTCAGAGAGAAACTGACCTGCTGCCTATTGAATCTTTTTCTGTTCACCTCTCTCTCTCTCTCTCACACACACACACACACACACTATACATCAGCTGGTCCTGATGTAAGATTGGAGGGCAGGGAGAATAGAAGCAGACTGACTCCGCCCACAGGGGGCAGTGATGAGCAGACTGACGTTGCCGATGTACAGCAAGCCGACTGGGTCCACAGCAGTGCACACAGGCCGCCTGCTGGATCAGAACCGTCACGGGTTCCACGTGGGCATCCTGGGGACACAGGTTTGGGCAGACGGAACCGAAAACCCATCCAGAGGATGGACTCCTGTAATCCCACTCAGGGGCTCGTTAACCCCCCCGCCAACCAAACCTGATTAGCGAGCTGGAGAAGGTCTACTAGGTTCTAGGAGGCATGGAGCAGGAATCCCCGGAAGGTCACGGGTTTAGGATCCGAAGGATTTAGCTACACGGAGCGAGACGTCTGTCGAGACGCCCTGTGGCAGGTTGTCACTCGAGGGAGAGACCACCGCTAGCAACGTTAAGGAGTAACGACACCGGCAAGTGGGGGTGTGGCCGAGGATGGTCGTCTAGGAGACGCTCGGCTCCCTCCAGTAACGATGCACCCGTCCGCGGACCCCACCACAAGCGCCAAAAAGACACCGTGAACCGTTTTACGATATCCGAACGCACTCTTTTTACAAAAGGGCTCCCGTCCAAAGAGACTCTGTCCGCCGCACGACTTTCACACGTCTGGGCTCAGAATTACGCGGCGGATAACGGATCCAATCCCCCTCCATGGAGATGAATCCGGCATGCCGCGGCCGCGCGTGTTTGGATCCTGCCCAAAAGAGAGCCGGACATGCCCTCTGCGTCGAACAGAGTGCCGCCTCAACCCGACTCCTGCAAAGCCAACACGCTGAAACAGGGCCCAAGTATGGGGGGGGGGGGGGGGGGGGGGGGGGGGGGAGAGAGAGAGAGAGAGAGAAGAGGCAGGCCATTAAAAGAGCTGGGGAGGGGTCCGCAGGGGACACACTCATTTGCATGCAGGCAGGGGGGGGCAGCCCCACTCCCCATCTCCGTGTTAAACATTGGATGTAGAGGACGGCAGATGAGGCATCACTGGACCGGCGCTGCGGAGACCACGGACGACCCCGGGGGCTGCTGGCTCACGCCAAAATCACGTACCCCNGGGGGGGGGGGGCAGGGCATTCCCAGTCCGGTAGGAGACAGGAGTGCAGACATCTCCTACCCCACAGCCCACCGGGACGTCCGCATGTCGGCACGGCGCAGGACAAAGGCGGCAGTGTTCCTTCTAGCGGTGCGGCCGCCTACATTTATTCCACATTTTACAAATCGGCAAAATGGATCCTTTCCATACCCCCCCACCCACACCCCCCCCGGAAGGTCCGCCGCAGAGGCCAGCGTGACGACTAGCCTTCTTTTAACGGAAATGCCATGAAATGACAATCTGACGTCTCGTCCTGCTCCCCCACCCAGGCGCTGAACGCCCCTCGTCCCGGTTCTGATGCCCACAGCCGTCTCAAACAGAGGGGGGGTCCTTAGTGAAAAGGGTGGGCGATTAAAAAAATTTTAAAAAAAAACCCACACGCACAACCGGATGCCCGAATAACTAACAGCAGCCCCACCCCCCGTGGTTTTGGCTGTGGGGGGCCCGGGGGTGGTGATTACGGGTCTGGGCGAGTGCTCCCCGGGTCACACGCCACGCCAAGGCCCCCCCCAGGCCATGCTAATGAGCGCCAACCAGGGCCGGCCCAGCTTATTACAACACCGCAGACAATACGAGACACAACTACGTACCGCATGTGCTGTGGGGGGGGGGGGGGTGGCTGTTCCATTAATTGGGCTGCCATCAGAACCTCACTCTGCCCTCTTAAGGCCAAAGACTGCGGCACTTCCAGGTACCTGGACCGCTGGTCATTAATCCGGCCCCCTCTCCCTGCTTTCTATCCGTTAAGCGGGGTCCTCTCATGTTTGGGGGGGGCGCAGGCTGCTTACACCACAGCCAGAATGTCCACCTTTATCACCCCAGTCTCTAGCGGAGGGTCGGGTGCGGGGCGGGCAGAGAAGGTACGGCAGGCCGGATTCGCCCTCCACCCCCCCCAGCTGCTAACAGCTGCAGAGTGAGTCAGTCTGGGTCACGGCTGAGCAGAACCTCAGGTTCCACACGCTGGGCCGCCCAGCCGTACTCACAGATTTGGTGTCACTTCATCTAAAATTTGGTGCGCCCCCCCCTTCCACATGCCATTCTGCACTTGAGGCCCCATCCAGCCCAGCCTATCATCAACCCCCCAAGCTGAGTTAAAACTAGTGCTGAAACAGAACCCGCCCCCCCCCCTCCCGAAACAGCCCAGCCTATCATCAACCCCCCAAGCTGAGTTAAAACTAGTGCTGAAACAGAACCCGCCCCCCCCCCTCCCGAAACAGCCCAGCCTATCAATAATGGTTAATTTAACACATATGTGGGAGACAATCACATAGGGAGGGGCTATACCAAATTAGAAACCAAATACTGCTCAAGTACTGAAGAACAGCCTGGAAACCATTGCTGGGGGGCCCGGGGGGCACTGACCACACACACCCCCCAACACTGACAGGGTGCTTCCCTGTAAAGCAAGAGCCAGCCAAATACGCAGAGCAGCACACGCCCCGCGCACATCCAACGCGCCCTGTAATTCACCGCCTGTCTCTCTCAGGCATGCCCCCCCCCCCCAGCTTCGCGGGCACTCTGGGCAGCATGCCAGGGGTGAAACAGGAAAGAAAAGCGTTCTTGGACGCCGAGCGGGAAAGCTCACCCCAAGCCCTTCCAATTCCTCGGCACAGATGCGGCTGTGGCTCTTTGTGCCGAGCGCCCAGGGGTGGGGGGTGGGGTGTGGCGGTTGAGCTGGATCCGGCGGAAGGAGAGCGCCCCCTGAGGTAAAGGCGCAACCCCGTGCTGATAACGCAATTTTACGCAAGCGATCCGCGAGTCCGCAACCGCAGAGGCAGCAGATTTTTTAATTAAATAAATATTAAATAAAGGCGTTTCTCACATGGACACGTCAAGAGAGCCGCGGGTCTCTGAGCAGTGAAGTGCGGCGGAACGTAAACGCGCCGCGAGTAATTTGAAGCATAAACACTTTCCGGGATTTACATGGGGCCGCTCGACGATGTCGCCGCCAGCAGCTGCTCCGTCGACACCTTTAACGTTATTAAAACGAGCTTTTGATTCCCGCTGAAATGACTACAGGATGTAAATTAAACCCGCAGTACCCACCCCCCAGAAGCCTAGTCCACCCCCTTCCCAACCCCCACCAATCAGGGTCCTGGTGCCTACATGCTGCCTTTTGTCCAGCGGGGGTCTGCGTGCGATCGGGTGAGGATGCAGCTTAACAGGTGACGGGGTCTCCGGTCTGGCATGGGATGCCGGGGGGGGGCTTAGGGGTTTGAAAGGTATCCGCTGAGTTTGGACAACAAGCGGGGACCAGTCAACTGCAAGAAAAGGGGTTTTTCCTCCCGCAAGACAGACAGAACACTCAGGAAGTCAGGAAGCCAGTCCCACCTGCATGTCATTCAAGCCTGAGACAGTAATCATGATTGGCCTGCTCAATGTCAGAGTGGGGGGGGGGGGGGGGGGGGGGGGGGGGGGGGGAGAGAGAG